GGCAAATATTTTTGTTGTTTTTTTGAGATAGGGTCTTGCTCTGTCACCCAGGCTGGAGTGCAGTGGCATGATACCAGCTCACTGTAGCCTCAAACTCCTGGACTCAAGCAATCCTCCCACCTCAGCTTCTTGGCTACTTTTTAAATATTTTGTAGAGATGGGGTCTCACTATGTTGCCTCAGCTGGTCTTGAACTCCTGGCCTCAAGCTATTCTCCCGCATCAGCCTCTCCAAGTGCTGGGATTACAGATCCAACAGTGGCTGGAGCCACTGCACCCAGCTACTCAAGGCAAATATTGAGCCAACGTAATTGGCCATCCAAGGTTCCACCCTGGGTAGGGGAGCTCTGAGCACTGGCATTGGAGGGAGCACAGCTTCTTGGCTGAACTCCGGGATAGACACATTTCCTGATGGGCAGAGCATTCCATGGCTTCTCACTCACATCTTCTGCAACTCCAAGTCTTCGGATGCCTCAAACCCATACTCTACATGGGCCAGCCTTCACTGAGCAGCTAGTGTGGGACAGACAGGCCAGGGTGGGCACGCAAGAGGAAGAAGACCCAGACTTTGCCTCAAGGAGATCACATTCAAGCAGGGACAGAATTACTCCAGAGTGTGACAAACAGAGGGACCAAAGCCTCTGATTCTCTCTTTCTTTCCTTCCTTCCTTCCTTTCTCTCTCCCTGCCTCCCTCCCCCCCTGCCTCCCTCCCCCCCTGCCTCCCTCCCCCTCTTTCTTTCTCTCTCACTCTCTCTATCTCTCTTTCTCTCTCTTTCTTCCTTTCTTTTTTTTTTTTTTTGAGACAGAGTTTCACTCTTGTTGTCCAGGCTGGAGTGCAATGGCCTCAGGTGATCCACCTGCCTAGGCCTCCCAAAGTGCTGGGACTATAGGTGTGAGCCACTGCATATTGCCACCTCCAATTTTCACAGGAGCACAGAGAAGTTTGGCACCCAACAGAAATATTTGAACTAAGTTCAAATATTGGTTTCCCTAGTTCTTGGCTCAAGCTTCTCTGGTGCTCAGTGACTTCCTATGAAAGGGAATGAGAGGGGTCTGCGGTGACAAAATCATGCTTCTACTGCCTGGCAAGGTGACATTCACCTATAATCTCAGCAACTCGGGAGGCTGAGGTCACTTGAGGGCCTACCTGGGAAACATAGGGAGACCCCATCTCAAAAAAAAAAAAAAAAAGCTGGGCATGGTGGCTCATGCCTGTAATCCTAGCAGTTTGGGAGCCCAAGGTAGGTGGATCACTGGAGGTCAGGAGTTCGAGACCATCCTGGCCAACATGGTGAGACCCCCACTAAAACTACAAAAATTAGCCAGGCATGGTTGTGCATGCCTGTAGTCCCAGCTACTTGGGAGGTTGAGGCAGAAGAATCACTTAAACACAGGAGGTGGAGGTTGCAGTGAGCTGAGATCACACCACTGCACTCCAGCCTGGGAGTCTCCACGGAGCGAGACTCCATCTCCAAAAAAAAAAAAAGAGATATCAACAAAAATTGGTGATGAATGGGGTAGCAGTGGCACTGCCCAGCTAATATATATATATATATATATATATATATACACACACACACATATATATGTATATATTTGTATTTTTAGCAGAAACTAGGTTTCTTCATGTTGGCTAGGCTGGTCTCGAACTCCTGACCTCGGGTGATCCACCCACTTAGGCCTCCCAAAGTGCTGAGATTACAAGTATGATCCGGCCTCCCTCCTTTTTTTTTTTTTTTTTTTTTTTTTTTGGTGAGAGGGAGTCACACTGTGTCTCCCAGGCTGGAGTGCAGTGGCAAAATCTCAGCTCACTTCAACCTCCCCCTCCCAGGTTCAAGTGATTCTCTGGCTCAGCCTTTCGAGTAAGTGGGATTACAGGATTGTGCCACCATGCCAGGCTAAATTGTATTTGTGATAGAAATGGGGTTTCGCCGTGTTGACCAGGCTGGTCTCAGACTCCTGACCTCATGTAATCCACCGGCGTTGGCCTCTCAAAGTGCAGGAATTACACACTGGAGCCCACCTCACCCCCATCCAAGTAAATTTCTTGATTGCACAGAATGTATGGTAATATTGGTGGACTTAAGGACATCCTCTCCAGCATTTGAGTGTTGTCAGTGTCTTGGGTGTTCTGTGCTTTTTGTTTGTTTGTTTGAGACAGAACCTTGCTCTGTTGCCAGACTGGAGTGCAGTGGCATAATCTTGGCTTACTGTAGCCTCTGCCTCATGGGTCCAAGTGATTCTCCTGCCTCAACGTCCCAAGTAGCTGGGACTGCAGGTGCACACCACCCTGCCCAGCTAATTTTTTTTAAAAGTATTTTTAGTAGAGACAGGGTTTCACCACGTTGGCCAGGATGGTCTCAATCTCTTGACCTCATGATCCGCCTCCCAAAGGGCTGGTATTACAGGCATGAGCCACTGTGCCTGGCCTGTGCTCTCCTTTTAAACTCTTTTCTTTTTAAAGTGGGGCAGATTGGAAAGTGTGCCTTGTTTATTGCCCACGTGAAGCTTGTTTTGAACTGTTTTATGTTCACAGTTTGGGATTTTTGAGGCAGTATTGCTGAGCTGTCCTGTCAACCTGAATTTGACCCCTTTATCCGCCACTAACCTTGCCATGTGACTATAAGCAAGGTACCTAGCCTCTCTGTTCTTCAGTTTCTTTATCTGTAAAATGCAGATTATGCCCAGCTCATAGCACTAGTGTGAGGAATAAATGAAGCTAGGTGTAGATCACTTTTACATTGTATGTGACACTTGGTAGGCACCAAATCATTATTGCTGGGAGGATCAGTACATTCTTGCTTGTCTACACACACACACACACACACACACACACACACACACAGAGAGAGAGAGAGAGAAAGAGAGAGAGAGAGATTGCAGAGATAGTACAAAGAGTTCCCATGTACCTGTACCCAGTTTCCCCTATTATTAACATCTTACATTTGTATGGTGCATTTGTTAAAATTAATGAACGAATATTGAGATGCTTTTATTAACCCAAGCCTGTACTTCATTCAGATTTCTTGGGGTTATTCCTAATGTCCTTTCCTGTTCTAGGGTCCCATATGAGACACGGCATTCCATTTCATCATCATTTCTCCTTAGGCACTCTCCCTGGCTGGGTCACTTAATGAGTTTCTTTTGATTACATTGAAATTAAATTTTGGTGCATACAATGAGATCTCTGTTACAGAATTCTTAGGTTAAAATTTAGTCACAATGGCTGGGTGCAGTGGCTCATGTCTGTAATCCCAACACTTCGGGCGGTTGAGGCAGACTGATCACTGGAGGCCAGGAGTTTGAGATCAGCCTGGGCAACATAGTGAGACCCTTGTCTCTACTTAAAATAGAATAAAGTTTGCCAGGCATGGTGGCACACACCTGTAATCCCAGCTACTCTGGATGCTGACGCATGAGAATTTCTTGAACCCAGGATGTGGAGGTTTCGGTGAGCTGAGATGGCGCGACCGTACACCAGCCTGGATGATGAAGCCAGATTCTATCTCAAAAAAAAAAAAAAAAAAAAAGGCAAACCTTATTCACAAAATTTTTATAGGGCACCCGGTAGTAGCCCCTGAGCTGGATGTGTAGTAGACTCCCGAGATCTTAACCTGAAGTCTGCCCTACTGTGGTGAAACCTGCTTGTATGCCAGAAAACAGACCCAGGCTGCCGAAAACCACCTGTATCATCTCCTGCCCCGCTTGTCCTCCCGCAACTTCTGGTAAATAATGTCCATTGAAAAATGCTGGTTGGGCTGACATGGTGGCCTGAGAGATAACACATCTCAGGAATGTGGGGGTGGGGTGGGGTAGGAAAAGGAGGCCACTGTGTTTTTTCTGACAGTTGCCTCAAAACTGCTGGTAGCTTGGTGCTGGAAGGGTGTCACCCCAGCATGTTAGCTGAGCTCTGTGGTTTCTCTGAATGTTAATAACTGTCACTGTTTCAGCTGTGTTTCCTTGTTGATATCACCAACTGAAACATATGTCAGAGGTTTTGGGCTTCTGGTGCCAAATCCAAGCTGGTTTATCAGCAAACGCTCCCCGCCAGACAATCGAGTCTGTGTGCTGGGGCAGAGCCGCTTCCCCTTCGACACTGGCTCTTTTCTAAGAACTGAAAATAAGCTGCAGAGGCTGTGACTTCACTTTTCTTGGAACTGCTTTACATTACCCCAAAAAATGCAGAAAGCCCTCATTTAGCAGCTTTTGGATTGCTGAGTTCTCTAATTCTTTCTGTTGCATATTCTTGTAATGCTCAAGTTTGACTGACAAATTCTTCTGCATCAGGCAAAGTGGGAAAGGGAAGGAATGATCATGTGAAGGAACTGAGAGCTTTGTTGCTTGGCCTGTTTGTGGTTTAATGGTTGACAAGAAAAAGCACCTGGAAGAGACACTGTGTAGAATGCCTTCCAATTCCAAGGGTCACAACCCTGTGATCTGCTGGCCAGCAGTTGGCTAGGGCTGGTGTAGATGAACATCAGGCTACAGCCCAAACTGACAGAGCAGCTGCAAGGACAAGGGGCAAAATAATTTTCAGCCATAATGACCTACATTTAGTAGACACTTTGGAGCTCATGCAAAAGGACATCTTCAAGGGGCATCTGCCTCCTTGCAATAAGGGAGATAGTGATGTCAGCCAAACCTGGGGTCTGGTCCTGGTCCTGCCGGTTCCTTTCTGACTTTGGCCTTAAAAGTCAGTCTGTGAAGTGGAGACCATTCTTCCTTTGAAGGGTGGTACCTGGTAGGTTCTTGGGAACTGAATTAGGTTTCCCCTCCTGAGAGTGGGTGTCTGTAGACAGGCACATACGCTGTTCTGAAATCATCTGTTGCTATCTGTATCTCTGTCGAAGGTGCTTCCAGTGATATGTTATTGTGTCTTATTTACCTCAGTATCCCTGCCCAGCATGGGGTCTTATGTAACATACATGGGCAGTCAGTCAATGTTAGTACTGGCTGGGTTTTAGGCTGGAAGACAGTGGAAATATGCAAGCAAAGGCACAGTGTCTTGAATTTACACATGGTCTGTAGCAGATTTCAAATGAAAGGAGCTCCCTGCTTAGGAGGGCCTTTTGAATTGGGGCCCCTGTATAGTTTATAGTGAACCTGAGGGTGACGGCTAGACTGTTGGGGAGTGCTCTTTAAGTATAGAGGGAAGACTTGGTAAAGGCATAAAAGCATGGAGGAAAAGGAGCTAGACAGGTGAGTCCAAAAAATGATTCATGTGGTTTGGGCAGAACCTGAAATGAGAGGCCTTTGAGATTGACTCTTGATAAAGAATGCAAATGCAGCTGGGCTCAGTGGCTCATACCTGTAACCCCAGCACTTTAGGAGGCTGAGGCGGGCAGATCACCTGGGGTCAGGAGTTCAAGACCAGCCTGGCCAATATGGTGAAACCACGTCTCTACTAAAAATGCAAAAATTAGCCAGATGTGGCGGGGTGGTGGGGTGGAGTACCTGTAATATCAGCTACTTAGGAGGCTGACACAGAGGAATCGCTTGAACCCAGGAGACAGAGGTTGCAATGAGTTGAGACTGCACCACTGCACTCCAGCCTGTGTGACAGAGCAAGGCTCTGTCTCAAAAACAAAACAAAACAAAAAGAATGGAAGTTCAACAAAGAATTAAGTGCCAGGGACTGTGCTAGAAGCCGTCTCATGAGTTGCTTCATTTTACTGTCCCAGTACCCCTGGGAGGTGCGTTTCCCCTGTCCCCTTTTCACAGCTGTGAAAACTGCAGCCATGAAGATGAAGTCCCTTGTCCAGGGGCTCTGTCCAGCCACAGAGCCAGGTTATGAACCAGTAGGTGCCCCTCATCATTAAGGACACTGTTGTTGCAGGTGGCCAGGACCCTTCCCTACAGCAGCTCTTCCCCAGGGCAGCTCTGGGAGCTGAAGGTCTCTGCACGGGCACTGGCACCCTCTGCTGGTCTGTGCTCGGGAAATGGGATGACAACTAGTCACCAGAAAACAAAGGCAGAGAAGGAAGCAAAGAATTAAATGGGGCTATGAGAAGCTTCACTCCTGTTTACCCAGGAGTTCTGCCCATTATGGCCATGCCGAGGTGGGGGTGGGGGGCTCCTGGATTTGGCAACTGGATGAGTTCTGAAGGGCTTGCAGTGGGGCCAGCCCCACTGTTCATTCATTGATAACCTTGGGTAGGTTATTTCACTGCCCTTACTTCTGATATCCATAGAAACGGGATGACATGGGGTCAGAGAAGTTAAATGATTCACCCACATGGCTGCTAGCTGGAATCCAGTTCTTAAAAGTTCACTTTGGTGGCTCATGCCTGTAATCACAGCACTTTGAGAGGCTGAGGGGGGTGGATCACCTGAGGTCAGGAGTTCAAGACAAGCCTGGCTAACATGGTTAAACTCTGTTTCTACTAAAAATACAAAAAAATTATCTGGGCATGGTGGCACGTGCTACTCAAGAGGCTGAGACAGGAGAATCGCTTGAACCCAGGAGGCAGAGGTTGCAGTGAGCCAAGACTGCACCATTGCACTACAGCTTGGGCAACAAGAGCAAAACTCCATTTCAAAAACAAAAAGAAACCACAAAAGTTCACTTTATTGGCCTTTCTGTGGCCGAACACCTGCTGGGTTCCAGGCTCTGGGGATACACGAGGTGAACGAGAGACATGATTGCTTCCTGTGCGGCACGGTGACTTCTCGGACCTCCCATTCCTCCTTATCATTCCTGTTTAAGCCCAAGAAAGTCCTGTGCTTTTAAGAATGTGTGTGGTTAGATTGGGCTCACCTGGGTATCCAGGCCAATCTCCCCATCTCAAACCCCTTACTAATCCCACCTGCAAAGTCCCTTTTGCTACGGAAGGTGATGTATTCAGAGGTTCTCAGGATTAGGGCATGGACATCATTGTGTGGGGATGGACAGTCTGCCTATGTAGTCAGCCCTCTAGACCCTGAAGATGTGTGTTCATCCCAAATACAAAATACATCCACCCTGCCCCAAGGCCTCATCCCATTATAACATCAACTCAGGAGTCCAAAATCTGCTCTAAATCTCATTACCAAAAACACCTCAATCTGGCATGGGGAGGCTCTGGGGATGACCCATCCTGAGCAGTTCCGCTCCCTCTGTGAACCTGGAACTCACTAAACCAGGTAACTGGCCCTAAAGTGTAGTGAGCGGCCACCCAGAGGGGTACAATCTAGTTCTGTCCCTCATCCAAGGAACCTGATATGTGATACGGGCAAGAAAGATAAGGAAGAAACAAAGAGGCTGCACACCCAGAAATACCAGACCACTAAGCCTCCTTTCCTCCTGGTCACAGAGGACAGGGAAGGGAGTTTCTCCAAAGGGTCTGTTGGCACCCAAGCTCCACATCCTGTGAGCTTGGGAGAAGGCTGAGCTAGACACTTTCCTTCTGCGGGTGCTGCTTATTTTAGAAAGTGAGTCAAGCTGGGCACGGTGGCTCACACTTGTCATCCCAGCACTTTGGGTGGCCAAGGTGGGCAGATCTCCTGAAGCCAGGAGTTCATGGCCAGCTTGCCCAACATGGCAAAACCTTTTCTCTACTAAAAATACAAAAATTAGCCAGGTGTGGTGGTACATGGCTGTGGTCCCAGCTACTCAGGAGGCTGAAGCAGGAGAATCGCTTGAACCCAGGAGGCGGAGGTTGCAGTGAGCCGAGATTGTGACCCTACACTCCAGCTTGGGTCACAGAGTGAGACTGTCTCAAGAAAAAAAGAAAGAGTCAGAGTCAGGGTCTGCCCTGGGGTCTTCCATCGGACAGCTGTGCATTACTTGCAGGTGAGAATTTTCCCAGAGCACAGCTAAGCCTGGTTGTCCTGTGTGTAGAACTCCTGCATGTAGCTCATTATCAGCTCCACCTGGGCTATTTTTACCTGGTCCCTACCCATATCTTCAATTAGGATCCACGTGCTGGGGGCTCAAGAAAGTCTAAGCTCTTAGAAAGCTCTCCGGTGAGTCTCATCATCAACCAGGTTTGGCAGCCACAGATCTACAGTTTTCTGGCCAAGAGACACCTGGGGCACAGGAGGGATCAGAGCTGCCCCTGATGCTGGTTGTGAACTGGCAAAGGCTCCCTCGAGTGGAAACCCTGGAGCCCAGGGGACCAGAACCAAGGGGTCCCCGACTGCCCCAGGCTTCTGAGGAGGAGAGGAAAGGAAGACTGGAAAAGCCCATGTGGAGGAATAGAGTTGCTCTACCTCCTGGATGTCCAGGGCCATCCTTGATACTGGGCCGTTGCAAGGTAGTGATATCAAGTTCCCTTTTTAAAAAGCCCTGTGACTGGGTGCAGTGGCTCACATCTGTAATCTCAGCACTTTGGGAGGCCAAAGCGGGCGGATCACCTGAGGTCAGGTGTTTGAGACCAGCCTGGCCAACATGGTGAAACCCTGTCTCTACTAAAAATATAAAAATTAGCCGGATGTGGTGGTGTGTGCCTATAATCCCAGCTACTTGGGAGGCTGAGGCAGGAGATTCACTTGAACCCAGAAGGCATAGTTTGCAGTAAGCTGAGATCACTCCATTGCACTCCAGCCTGAGTGTCAGAGAGAGATTCCATCTCCAAAAAAAAAGTGAGCCCTTTTACAGAAAACAAGTAAACAATAGTACAGTGGTACCTGAGAGACTGATGTGTGGGTACTTGCTTTTCCTTGATGTTCTAGAGTGGAGCTGCGCTGTCTAATGTGATTGTCAGCACCCTCATGGATCTATGGAGTGCTTGGAATGTGCTGGTGTGACAGGCAAAGTTGCCAAACTCAGTAAATGAAAGTTGAGGATGCCTCCTCCATCAGTGTGGGCTGTGCACAGTGACTTCCTTCCAGAATGGAAAGGGGGATAAAAGAGTAACTTTACAGTGGCAAAACCTAACAGACTGCCCCAGCCAGCCGAGGTTAACGTCAAGTGATATATCACGTTAATGGCACACCTGGGTAAGACACCTGAGGCCCTGGGGGGCCAGGACTTAGAAGCTTCAAATTCCACAGCCACTCCTCTTCTCACTGCCCCCATGTGGCTCCTGGAGAGAGTAATGACAGTGCCCTAAGGGGCCTTTAAGAGCCTGAAAGGACCACAGGAGGTCTCTTGGAGGCCTGGAGAGGCCTGTGAGGACTTGGCGTTTTCCATAGATATGACAGCCGGGGTTGGTGGTTGAGACCTCTGTTCAGTGCTGGTAATGCTGCGTAATGAATTGCCACAAATTTAGGAGCTTAAACAAATGTATTGGTTGGGTGCAGTGGCTCACACCTGTAATCCTAGCACTTTGGGAGGCCAAGGCAGGCATATCACCTGAGGTCAGGGGTTTGAGACCAGCCAGACCAACATGGAGAAATCCTGTCTCTACTAAAAATACAAAAAATTATCCAGGCGTGGTGGCACATGCCTGCAATCCCAGCTACTTAGGAGGCTGAGGAAGGAGAATCGTTTGAACCTATGAGGCAGAGGTTGTTGTGAGCCAATATTGCACCATTGCCCTTCAGCCTGGGTGACAAAGCAAGATTCCATCACACACACAAAAAAAAGAACAGCCTTGTTAAATTCCTCCCATGCGTGGATGTACTTGCTGTAATATTTATTCCTGCTATTATGAGTCACCCGCTCCCAGGGCTGCCCTGCTCATTTTGAGACCTCTTCAGTCTTCCTAAATGTGAGGTAGGATTTTCTGTGCCTTTACCGCATTCTCCACCTCTCTGGCTGGTGTCACGGCCCTTTAAGGAGGGTGAGCACATTGGCTCTGGGATCTTGGTCTCCCCAGTTTGGCAGCAGGCCCTGACTTGGCATGAGAAATAAATGTCAGTGGGAAAAATCTTTTTTTTTTTTTTTTTTTTGAGATTGAGTCTTGCTCTTTTGCCAGTCTGGAGTGCAATGACACAATCCCAGCTCACTGCAACCTCCGCCTTCCAGGTTCAAGCAATTCTCATGCCTCAGCTTCCTGGGTAGCTGGGACTGCAGGCACGTGCCACCACGCCCAGCTAATTTTTGCATTTTTAGCAGAGATGGGGTTTCACCATGTTGGCCAGGATGGT